ACATACTAAAAAACAACTTTAAATTGCTTTTAGGACATCACCCAACACCTTCACACATCTCGAAAGAAAATAAACTGAAAAAAGGTTCAAACCTCGTCCCCACTGAGATCTGGGTTGGCATCGACATCTACGATGTTCAAAGACTCCATTGTTCTTCAATTTCCACCTCTTTCAGCACTAAACGCGAAGATTTGAAAGTGAAAGATCAAAGATTCGCCAGCAAAAAGCAGGAAGGAGAATGGGACTTTTGGCTTTTCTGCAGGTACGGTGTGCCCTCGCTCTTTTAGGGTTCGAATGGGAAGAAGGGGAGGATATACTGAATTTGGGCAAGAGGTGGGCCCCACGTTTTTATATTTTTTGCTTGGCGGGAATTTGACGTGTTTTATGACATGTCATCTTTTTTCCATGTGTACATATGACGTGTCACGATATTTGGCCATGTCATCGTGTTCCCATTAGTTAACAGTACACGTCACTGGATTTTTAACGGAAGGACCAAATCAGGATAAAAATAGTAAACAGTAAGGACCAAATTAGGGATTTTTTTAGTTCAGGGACCAAATCGGGGGTTCGTACAATAGTTCAGGGACCAAAAAGGGGTTTTAACCTTTTTTTTTTTTTACTCACACATCTTTTGTGAGTGAGTGGAGAGTTGAGAAAACAACTTATGAACTTTCATTGCTTAGTTGAATTGGTTAGTTGCTATTTAGAAGGTCACTACTCATTTGGAGGAATGGTTGAATGTTTAGCTAAAAAAAAAAAAGAGAATAAAAAAAAAGAAAGAGAAAAAGGAGAAAGAGAGCTATTGTTATGAAATGTGAAGCATTTAGAATAGTTCATGTGATATTAGTTATGTGAGAAATTTTGTACTTTCTGTACTTTGTTTCAAAAAATCCAAAATAAAAAAAAGTCAAAAAAAAGAAGAAAAAAAATGGGGAAGAAAAAAAAGAAGAAAAATAAATCTACAAAATAAAGTCTTATGTCAATTTAGAAGTCAAACTTCCTTTTTTGAGGAAACAATCTTTCTCACTAAGCTCTACTTTTATTGCTCTCATATTTGATTGATTGAAATCCTAAAGCAAGGTATAGTAAGAGTAGTGGAATTTTAAATAACTAATTAATCTATGTTCTAATCAATTTTTGTTTGTTTGATTGTCCATTAAATTTGACATTTTCCTTTGAGTGACTTACTGCTTTCCAACTCCATGAGAGAAATCTTATGACTTAAATAGTTATTAACCCGTGAGGATATGGAGTTGAGGCTTTTACTTTGATTAACTCTCAAGGATATATATAGTATGCTTTGTGGTATAAAAGTTATGCTTAGTTAGACCTGGCAAATGGGCGGGTCGGGTCAGAATGGGTAACGGGTCAAAATGGGTAACGGGTCAAAACGGGCTGGGTTAAAACGGGTCAATGAAGGCAAATCCTAACCCGCCCACCACGAGTCACGGGTCAACCCGCGGGTTTACCCAATTAAATTTTTTCTTTTCTATAATTTGTACCTATTATCATTTAAAGAAAATTATTTAAAAGATTTTTTAAAAAAATTCAATATCTTATAAAAAAAATTTTTTTCTCATTAATTTAATGTATACATATTTATAGTTCTTTAAAATCATCTTCTCCACCTCCCTTCAAAGAACAACATTAATCAAATTCAAGAATACCACACATTTATAAATCTTAATAGCGAAAAAAAAAAAAATAGTAGCATGACAACCAAAAAACAAACCCCATTGGAACATATTTGTTCTGGTCGTTGCTTTTAAAGAATCAATCAATTGAATGCATTTAAATAAAGGACAAGATCAAGTAGAATTTTTACTTGGAATGGAGAGAAAACCAAAAGCATAAATAAGTAAATAACTTCCCTTGAAGGCTTTAGAGAGAAAAGTTGGTGACAAAGAGAGCACTTGTCAAAGTCAAAGGAGAAAGAAAGAAAGGGCTAAGTGGATGAAATGGTGACTTGGTGAGACTAAGATCTAAGTTTGAGATAATGTTAAAGACTAAAGAGAAAAGGTGGAGTTGAAGCTTGAATGTCGAAGGCTGTATGGACGATGGAGGTTGAAGAATATGAGAAGAGTTTGAACTTTGAAGAGTTAGAGTCTTAGAGAGTATTACGGCAAGCAAAAATAGAAAAGGTCGGGAGGTGAGTCAGAATTGGAGTGGGATTATTTTTACTTATAGAAGATGATGAGTTAAGAGAATCAATTAGCTAATTAGAGAAAATTACTCAATTATTAGAAGTTTAGGTGGGATTGGGAATTGAAAAATAATAATAATAATAAATTAAAATTTTTTTTAATTTTTAGACAGGTTAACTGGTCAAACCCGTTAACCCGGTGGGTCAACCCGTTATTGACCCTTGACCAGTCGAGTTCTCTTAACCAGTCATTAACGGGTTGTAGGTCATAAATATATGATCCTAACCCGTTTTAAACGGGCGGGTTAACGGATTGGGTAAAAAATTGTCAGGTCTATGCTTAGTTCATACACATATAATTTTGGAAGTTATAATTGGAGGATATATATATATACTACTAGGCCTCGGGGAGCTTTCCATGGGCCAGCTGATAGCCCAATACTTCAAGTCTACGTAATTTTGTTTTCCAGGCCATGAAGAACCGAACTGAAAAAAAATCCAAATTCCTAGCTATTCAACATACCTTCCCTTATTGAGATGGCCCAATAAAAAATCCCCTTAAGATCTT